TCTTCAACCTGAAACCATTTTTATACCCTTGCGGAGAAGATTATAATTTCAGTCAGAAGTTTGCAACGCAGTGAAGAAGCCGCTACATGCCAAATTTATGTTAAACAGTGACATTATATGTACAGTAATCCATTTATTTGCTTTGTGTCCAAGTGTGTACAATAGGAAAAGGAGAAATGAAAGTAAACATGTATACAAACGATATTTCGCAAAAGTTTTCAAGCTCCACTTCTCAAGGTATACTTACAGTTATGTCGCTTGGAAACAATATATTTCCGCGCGGAGATTTTATATGATATGTCGTATTTCGAAGGTGTCGATTTAAAACAACATAGCTCCGACGAGGTGGCGGAGATACATATGTCGGCGGAGATATGTCGTTATCCCATTTGGGGCGGCACCGATCAATTGACCGTTTTTTAATAACTCCGGAAATAATTTCTTACTATATTTTTTCTTACCCTAATTTTGTCAAAAAAATTTCCAAAAGATTTTAAATATATAAATTAACAAGAAAGGAAGCAAACTCCGGTAAGCCGAAGTTCTTATACCCTTGCAGCTATTGTAAAAACGAAATATTATTGAAAACATTAAAATTATGATTTACTTGCGTATATGTTTAAAAACATTGAAGCTATGATGATTTGCAGCATAATTATTCGATAGTTCTTTTGGCAGCTATATGATATCGTTTTCCGATTTTAATAATAAAATTCAGATTATATTAAATAAAAGCATAATTCACAACTGTCAAATAATTAATTAAATAATCAATAAGAATTTCTGAAAAAAATTACATATTAAAAAAGTTTAAATTTTTAAAAATTTTATTTTTTTAATATATTTATTGTTTTCATGGGAGCTTTATGTTATAGTCGTCCGATTTTGATGAAATTTAAACCGTAATTCTAAAATATATAACCATTACTATATCTCGAAGAACTAAAAACAAAATTAAAAAACACCAAAGTTATAATTTTTTTTATTTATTTTTATGATTGTTCCTATGGGAGCTATATGCTATAGTCGTCCGATTTTTATGAAATTTAAACCGTAATTCTAAAATATATAACCATTACTATATCTCGGAGAACTAAAAACAAAATTAAAAAACACCAAAGTTATAATTTTTTTTTATTTTTTTTATTATTGTTCCTATGGGAGCTATATGCTATAGTCGTCCGATTTTGATTAAATTTTAACCGTAATTCTGAAATATTTAACTATTACTATATCTCGAAGATCTAAAAAAAAAATTAAAAAACACCAAAGTTATAATTTTTTTTTATTTTTTTTATTATTGTTCCTATGGGAGCTATGTGCTATAGTCGTCCGATTTTGATTAAATTTTAACCGTAATTCTGAAATATTTAACTATTACTATATCTCGAAGATCTAAAAAAAAAATTAAAAAACACCAAAGTTATAATTTTTTTTTATTTTTTTTATTATTGTTCCCATGGGAGCTATGTGCTATAGTCGTCCGATTTTGATTAAATTTTAACCGTAATTCTGAAATATTTAACTATTACTATATCTCGAAGATCTAAAAAAAAAATTAAAAAAACCCAAAAATTTATTTTTTTAAAATTATTTTTCCGATTGTCCCTATGGGAGCTATATGCTATAATCGTCCGATCCGGCTCGATCCGACTTATATACTACCTGCAATAGAAAGACAGCTTTTGGGAAAGTTTCATACAGATAGCTTTAAAACTGAGGGACTAGTTTGCGTAGAAACGGACGGGCAGACGGACAGACTGACAGACGGACAGACCGACGGACGGACAGACGGACATGGCTAGATCGACTCAACTAGTGATGCTGATCAAGAATATATATACTTTATTGGGTCGGAGACGTCTCCTTCACTGCGTTGCAAACTTCTGACTGAAATTATAATACCCTCTGCAAGGGTATAAAAATGAATATTCTTTAAAGTGTTTTATTAAGACCAATTAATTGAGCGTCATTCGACAAAATTTTATCTGTGCTTAAAAAGTGGAATATTTTATATAATATATTTTGGCAATACCTTTTGATTGGAGAATCACTCGTTACGATCGGACCATCACAGCAGATTTTCAGTTCTGATGTTATATATAGTAGTCACTACATGTACTGTCGTCCATAGTGATGAGCCTACACAAAAAATTTCAAAACACTTTTTTTCACATTAAAAAATGTTCATATGTTCACAAATAAATATTCCTTTCGGCCATTTTGTTGAGGATCAAATATTCGTCAATTTTAGTCCATTCGTCTCTTAGTCTTACATTTTTTTTGTGCTATTGCAGTATTACTTATGTATTTTATTGTAACTTTTATTTAAAAACACCAAAAGTGTGCAGGAAGTGACACTGTCAAACGAACATCTGAAGATGAAAATGCCATGAACTTATTTGGCAACGGAAATTCTCTGAAACGTTTTTTTTTTTTAATGTTTGTATATCGAGCTCATTTTTGTACTGTATTTTCGCTTCGGGCAAAATCATTAAATTAATGGAAAATAATGCATATTGTGGAGCAAAATCGTAAATTTTTAATTGATACCACTTTTAAAGTATACCCCTTCATTTTTAATTTATTATATTTATTATATAGATAGCGCCATTTATATTGGTATTGATGACGCAAAAAACAGAGCTCTGCTACCTATATTAAAACCAACATTTTCTGCTTAATAAGAGGATCCTTTATCTCGTACTGCGAACAGGCCAGGCGCAGCGCTTTAAAAAACTTGCATCCAACCATGAATTTATATGCTTGTTGGTTCCACTTTACACAAGCATGGAAAAAAAAACTTGCTCATACGGCTCCTATTATCTACTATTAGTGGAGGGGTTTAATATGCTGAATGTCAAGCAAAAGCGTTAAAAAAGATGTTTACTCCATTTTACATTTACTATTACTTCGAGAATCAGTCGCTTAAAAGGGTACGTGTTTTATAGGTTAAAAACTTGTTTTGGTATAATTTGACGTTTAATTTAATTCAAAGGAAGGATCCAATGGCATATTTGTATTCAGCGGTCATTTAGGACCACCGGATCTGTTGAAGTGTATATTTTAAATTTGTAAAATAATAAAAATTACCTTTAGTCACTTTTTCAAATTTGTGCAATGTTTTATTTACGCAGTGAATTGAGAAAAGCCGCGAATATGCTCTCTTGTTCCAGAACGGTGGTGTTTAAATTCAACCAATAATTAAGCAATCACATATATATATATATATATATATGAGAAAGTCAGTGCATAATCGGTTATATTATAAAACCTCAAAAAGAATGAAGAAATCAATATCTAGGTTTTTAAGCACGAACTCTTTCGCTAAACAACTCACTTTTCAAACCGGATCTCTTTAATAGCGTGGATGATAATGAAACCATTTCGCCTGACCTTAGATCATCAACATCGTCAATTGCTTCAAATGTATATACAGTAACAAACTTAATTATTGGCACAGTTGGCATGTCTGACTTTAACATTGCTTTTCTCCACTAAAAACTAAGATATAAATTTAAACCAATTTTTATTTTTATATATCGATAAATTTACAACAAATAAAACTTAACTTCATTCTTGTATCACATTTCTAGTAATTATAAAAATTAAAATTATAAAAAAACGCCAGATTTTCGTTGAACAAAATTATTGGCACACTTAGGTAATAGTGAACAATTTTGTCGAAATTTCATCGATCTGGCTACATTTTTCTTCAAAAGTTCCGTTATCTTTATTTTCGGAACTGCGTGGCTATACATTTTCAAGCTAAAAACCACGCAGTGCCTTATTCTTAAACAAAATTGATCAAATTTTAATAAAATGAGCGGCAAACAAAAGGAAACCACTGAATCTCAACGGAAAGAAATTTTATATTTGCATAATCAAGGCAAATCATATGCTGAGATTGGGGAAATGATGGATAGAAGCCGTTTTACCATTCGAAGCATTGTCCTGCGTTTTAAAGGAGTCTCATCGTTGGAGAGTGCTAAGCATACTGGTCGACCCAAAGCTTTGACTGAGCGGGAGCAGGCCAGGATCATCAGGAAGGTGAAGGTCAACCCAAAAATCTCTTCAACAAAGATTGCAGCTGAAGTTAAAAATGAATTGAAAAGATATTCACCCTATTACGGTTCGGAGGACACTGCACGAAGCTAACTACAAAAGCCGCGTTGCACGAAGAAAACCACTTATTTCAAAAATCAACCAGCAGAAGCGTTTGGCCTTTGCAAAAGAACATTTGAGTAAGCCAACAGACTTTTGGAACAATGTCATCTTCTCCGATGAAAGTAAATAAAGAAAGTCCCAGCTGTAATCAGCCTGTTAACGGAGCGATTCGTAATGTTTTCAATTAAACAAATTAAACTTTAAATAAAAACATGACTTTAAAATATTTATCTAAATGCAAAATTTTTCTTTTAACTTGGAAGTGCTGAGCAGATTGAAAAATTGTTGCGCACTTGACGTTTTCAAACGTCGCAAGTCCGCAGGGGATCACCGCCGAGTTAAGACGATTTAAGACGACATATCTCCGTGTTGCTCTTTAAACGACAAACCTCCACTCGGAGATGTTCTAAAACAACATATGTACATATTTTCAAGCGGAGATATGTCGATATGATCCAACACATCTCCACATTACTAGCATTTAAATGTAAGAACTACAAAACTTTAAACGTTAAAACAAGCGGGATATACATATTTTAACAATAAAGTTTGAATTCAACGTTTAAAAGCAATTGTGACAGTGAACTTTAACCAAAAATTATTTTAAGCAATATTCAATAGTTGTCCTTTTCTTAGCTTTAATGAATCCGTAAATGAATGAGGGCAACAACGTAGTGTCATAGTGTCTACACAGTAAGCCAACGTATCGGACGTTGTTTATTATTGTTAAACGTCTGGAAGTTGATATTACGCATTCAAGTAGTCATGAAACTCATACTATAAACACAGCGATATGCAAATGCATATCAATGTCAAAGTTCAAGTGTACTTACACAACCATGCCATAGGCTCCTTCGCCTATGTACGCCAGCTTAGTATATCTGGGACCAACTTCGAATATTTGACCCCGTATTATTTCAGCATTAGGAGACGAAACATCTATAGGCACTGTATCTACTTCTGATCCATTTGAATTCGATTCCTCCATTTTTGACATTGGCTCCTCTAAAATAATTGACAGCTTTAATATTAATCACTTTACGACTAAAGAGCGCTTAGATATCGAAATATTGTGTATGCATAAACCACTTTAGAGAAAATTAAATTTAAAATTTAATGGTCCTTACATTGCCTAAATAAATAAAAATGAAAATGGTTTCAAATTATTTATTAAGTTTTTACTTGAAAGTCAGAAGTTAATAGATAAAATTTTTATTTGAGCTGCGAAAATATATTTTAACTAACTGCTGATTTTATAAATTATCAAATGCATGTCAAGTTAACGCCAGTGCGTAAATGGAGACGCTATGGCTAGGTTTGTTTATAGCATATTTCCACCGAGATCCATCATCCTTCCGTAAGGTTTTGCCGTTCCAAAACTTGCCAGTTAGTCCGCCATTAAAATTTGACGGACTAATATATGCGATGGTTAGCCGATGTTTCTGCGGTGCAGATCTCTTTCCTCTGTTTCCACAAAGATGGTTGACCTGTTGACTTTGTTTACGTTTTGACGAGCCACAGCTATTCAGATCAGCTGAAATCGGAAGGTGGATGTGCTCTGTGGAAATAGGAGTTTCACATTTGTTCAAAATTCCAACCGTTTTCAACGGATGGACTGTGTGGAAAGAGGGTATTATACTGTGATACCCGGGATCCGCAGCCAGAGTAGATCCTACGCTCTTATGATGTACTCTATTCCCACAAAGCACTGCATTCGGAACGATGTATGAGCGCTTGCCGCGTCAAAAAATGCTACTCCTATAGCCAATTCACATTACAGTATTTCTTGGGGGAACGATGAGAAGACGGTGAAAATTTGAACTTCCAATTCACACTGCCAGCGTCTTCTTCCGAGTGTTCAAAACAAAGTGAAGCCGAGAAGCAGCAGCTCAATTTAGTGCATTTGCTACTCATTTTTGGTGGAATTTCACTTTGTCCTGAGCACCCGGAAGAAGAAGACGTCGACGGCGGATGGCGCCAGTGTGAATTGAAGTTTCACTTTTTCACCGTCTTCCCATCGGTCGCCCAAAAAAATACTATACATATTTATTTAAAATGACCTAAAGCTTGCGCGGGAAAAGCACTCATAATTACGGGGAAGTCCACAAGAAATTAATTTCATAGGCCAATATCAGTGGATAACTCATTAGAAGAAGAGTAACTTTCACGTTGTTTTAAGAAAAATTTACCGAAAACTTGTGCTACTGATTATAAATAATATACAAAAAAAAATTAAAAACAGTAATAAAAAACATTAGCAAATAAAACCAACATTGAAATTTCCAAAAATAAAACGTTAATTTTAATAAAAAAGATTATGATATTATTCGGGAGTAAAGTTTACATCGTAAACAGATATGATGTCTGAGAAAAAATTTTATCAAGCCACAAGCGGTAGATATGCGAAAACCTTGGAGATGAGCAAACTCCCACATATACAGGGATTCTTCCTCTTTTTTAAAAACTGTGGTGGTCTCCTTTGCAAACCAGTCAAACAACACCATCAGCTTCCCTTCCTTGTCGTCCAAGTTGGTAAATGCCTCGAATGCATTGTGGATGTCCTGCTGAGCATTAAAGATTTCCGTAAAATGGCTAAATTCATGATTTTAAAATAATTTCGATTTGATTTGCGACAATTCAATTCAATTCAATTCAATTCAATTCAATTCAATTCAATTCTTCGTACCACTCGCATATAGCCAATTCGATAAGAGTTAAGTGACGGTTTGAATACAACAATTTTCTGCAAATTTTCTGCAAAGTCACTAAAGATGAAATATGTAAAGGGTATATTTGGTGGCAGATAAATGGAAAATGGAAAGATTTTTTGCCTTCCTCATCCCCAGCAAACAAATTGAAAAGGTAAGGATTTATTCCCTTCCTCGTCGGCAGTAAATAAATGGAAATAGGAAGTATTTTTGCCTTGCCAGCTGGCTAATAAATAGAAAATAGAAGCATATTGTTCCATCTTCTCTAGTTGCCTAATGATTATAAATAGAAGGCTTAATATGGGAGCTTTACTCTCGCTACTGTTGACAGGCTGTGAGAATTTAAAAATGACCTGCTCGTTCCTTGTGAAATACCAAGACACCCTTCTAATCTTGTGTCACCCCCGAATGTTTTGAAACGAGAAGGCATCCACGGCTGTCCTTCTAAATGCGCATCTAGTTTACTTCCAGGTCCCGCTGGGAACATATGTATGTACGTATACGCTAACACACACTATACAGAATTCACAAGATAGCTACATGCAGAATAACTCAACGTGCTCAAGAAAATTATTATTAACAAGGAGATAAGCAAACTTCGGCAAGCCGAAGTTTATATATCTTTGCAGCTTTTAAAAAAATATTCTTGAAGACACTTAAATTTCGGTTTATATACGTATATGCTTAAAAACATTGATTTTCAGCTAAATCATTCGATCTTTCCAATGGCAGCTATATGATATCGTTTTGCGACTAAAGTTAAATTAGAATCGTAACTCTAATTTATCAAATTATTTATATTTTCAAAATAATTTTTTAAAATATTAAAAAATAAAAAAGTTAAAGTTTTTCATATTTATATTTTTTATTATTCCGATTTTAATGAAATTTGAATCGTTATTTAGAAGTATTTAACCATTACTACTTCTCGAAGAAATAAAAAAAAAAATTAAAAACTGAAAAGTTATAATTTGTTTTAATTTATTTTTCCGATTGTTTCTGTGGAAGCTATATGCTATAGTCGTCCGATCCGGCTAGTTCCGACTGATGTGCAACAGGCAGACAACTTTTGGGAAAGTTTCATGCAGATAGCTTTAAACTGAGAGACTAGTTTGCGTAGAAACGGACGGGCGGACAGACGGATATGGCTAGATCGACTCTCCTGGTGATGCTGATCAACAATATATAAGTAAACAGCCAGCTCCCAGCGTAAGCTAGGCAGTGCCATTTTAGGTTTTATTAATCCATTTTCATATAATAATAATAATCTTTATATATTATACCAATATATCCCACCTTTATGGTGTCCATCCAGCGGGTGAAAGAGGGCAGTTACCCTCTCAACCTATTCAACGTATTTCTACAAGTTGATGCCACAGGCCAACCGCTTCTTTCTATATCAATTGCAGATAGGACCACTAGCGGCAACCACGGTCTACCGACCCCCCAGCCACGGACGTATAGCCAGCCGGCTTCACCCCTGTCACGGAAGTATAGCCAGCCGGCACAAGAATTACATAATTGGTACACTGAAATAATATAATATAATAGCTGAACTCCAACGATAGCTTAAGATCTATACATACATAAATAAACACACAACTACCAGTGCCTGAAGTGCATACAGTTTCCTATGTCCAGCAATAGGATTTTTTTTTAAATATTAAGAGTGACTCGGTTTTCGATTTCTGATTTTTGATTTTTTTGAGTGAGTGACAAAAAATAAAGTCAAGTAACTCAAGTTACTTACACTTGGACTAGCAGTTTTATGTGAATAAATAATGCAAATAATTACATGACAAAACATTCAATATTCTTGGTGTTGATTTGATTTTCGATTTAAGAATTTTTCGAGTGCATGACAAAATATAAAAAAACTCAAGTAAATCAAAAAACTCACACTGGTGTCAAAGCAAAAATGTTCATACAAATAAGTAAATAAATAAATAAATCACACAGTATTTTACAGTGACGAACTTAATTATTGGCACAGTTGGCATGTCTGACTTTAACATTGCTTTTCTCCACTAAAAACTAAGATATAAATTTAAAACAAATTTTATTCTTATATATCGATAAATTTACAACAAAGCAAACTTTACTTCATTCTTGTATCACATTTCTAGTGATTACAAAAATTAAAATTATAAAAAAACGCATGATTTTCGTTGAACAAAATTATTGGCACACTTAGGTAATTGTGAACTATTTTGTCGAAATTTCATCGATCTGGCTACATTTTTCTGCAAAAGTCCCGTTATCTTCATTTTCGGAATTGCGTGGCTATACATTTTCAAGCTAAAAACCACGCAGTTCCTTATTCTTAAACAAAATTGATCAAATTTTATTAAAATGAGCGGCAAAGTTGAACTTACCAGCCACATTCACTTTTTAACACGACAATGACCCAAAGCATACGGCTCATGATGTCCGTATGTGGCTCGCACATCAAGTAAAACATACTTTGCCGCATCCGCCCCAGTCTACAGATCTAAACCCTATCGAACATTTGTGGGAAGAATTGGATCGACGGGTAAAAAAACGAGCTATGTATATCCACGAAGGCCCAGCTAAAGGTGGCACTGGTGGAGGAGTGGCACAATATTGGTTCAGAAACTACCCAAAACTTAGTTTCTTCGATGCCCAGGCGCTTGGAGGCAGTGCTTAAGCATAAGGGCTAATTTTAATTTTAAAACGATTTTTTATGTTTATTTTCATCATTTTTGGCTAAGTGTGCCAAAAATGTTGTTCAACGAAAATCAGGTGTTTTTTTATAATTTTAATTTTTATAATTACTAGAAATGTGATACAAGAATGAAGTTAAGTTTGTTTTGTTGTAAGATTATCGATATATATGAATAAAATTTGTTTTGATTTAATATCATAGTTTTTAGTGGAGAAACGTAATGTTAAAGTCAGAATGTCAACTGTGCCAATAATTAAGTTCGTCACTGTATGTGCTTAGTGTGGTTTTTTATACACTTGCAAAAGTTGCCACTTGCTTTTTTTCTTGCTCTTTTTTACAAGTTGTATCCACTGTGGCTGTGCTTATATTGAATTTTGTACCGAATTAATCCAGTGTATCTGTGTTAATAGCCGAATTGACCAATATCTGTCGTCTCGATCCTTGATCGTTCCGTGCCTTTGTTCTTTGAATTTTTTCTTGGGATAAATTAATACGACATTTTTGTGTTTTAGGTGACGCTTCAATATTAGCGCGAAAAAATCACCTCGACCTTTTTCTCTTATTTTTGCGGCTTTGGCCACGGTGCTTGTGTTGATATTGCAGAAAAGCGGCCCATCAAAACAAATTATCTTGTGTCCCAATCGTTCAATAGCTCGCATATGTCCAGTATATGTGCCGTTAACTTACTCAGCTGCCTTTAGCTACCAACGAGTCGGGAGTATAGGGAAGTAAAGCAAGAAATTGATAGCGACGGCAGCGAAGATGTAGGGTTCTGCCCCGTAGTAAGGAGCATAGACCAACCAGAGATGAACGCGGAAATGGTCCAAGCGATTGTCGCAAATGCTGTCGGCAGTGCTCTTGCCGCGCAGGAAGAGCGTTT